AAAACGGTGCCGTGAAGTATAAACACAGTCTTGTTTTCCTGCTTCTTTCATCTTTGTTGAATTACACAGCACCTCGGCGTTCGATTTGAACTTGACTGACAACAAATAGCGCCCTGAACTCGAGTCAGCTATCCATAAGCCTATTCTTACGCTAAAAGCTGACGCAAAGTATGAAAGCACTCTAGCATCAAAAATGCTTCAATCGAGAGTGCTGTTCTAGCCGTTATGTGAGCGTACGGCGAAGTATTATCAGTGACTTAGGATAGTGGCATCTCTTATGTTAGTTTTGTTTAGCTCTGAGTTTTCATTATTCCTTCTTCAGAAACCATGGGCATAACGAAAGACTATCTTCGTTATGTTCACAGCGGAAGTTGCGCTTGTGTTGGATCGGCGAATGGTGAAATCTGTGCAATAGATGCGACCACTTGCGCCGTGACTGCTTGCGAAAATGTCAGCTTCTATAACATGAGGACAAATGAAAAGGTGGGTTCGAACTTCTGATCTGTTGCGTCTCATAGGATAAAATCTTCGCCGTTGATCAATCCCTTTGTGGGATGCGGCACGCATTCTACTTCCATTCAGAATCGTAGTGGCTTATTGAATGCGATGTGGCCTATACAATGACTTGCGGGGGCCAGCCGATGTACAAGTCAGTGTTTTATCCTCCCAGACGAATCTGGTACCAATTTACCGTCCCCGGAGGGTAGAAAGGCTTGGTTGGCCTGGGCGGGAGTCGACCTGGGATTTGAACCCAGGACCGCGCCATGTCACTACACCACCTCCGCTTTCATGTCTTATAGTTATCTCTATTATTTACCTTCCTTTGGAAGTTGCTTGGAACCTCTACTTTTACTTTTTTGCCCCTCCCCACGACCACCACACACAGCCTAGTGTTATTTTCCCACTGCCCTGGGCCTTCTGAGGATGATACACCGTGTTTTTTCCATATTTAAATAATTCACGCATATTTTCTTGAATATCCATCCTTAAGCGCGTTCATGTCAGAATCAAGCGTACGGTGCTATCCACAGGCGGTCGCTTTTGTCCTTGCCGGAGGTGCTGACAAAGGCAAGAGCGACAGCTGGAAGAACTGAGACAGATTAGGCCGTCTACTGAATCCTAGAAATAGTCGAAGACCTCCCCCCTTCTTCGGCAGACGGTGAGGGTCGAGGGGAACTTAGGAAGTGCCTTGAGTAGCGGATTGATTACTAGAGGTAGTTCGAAGCCGTTGGGAGAGTGGAGATGATTTGTTGTCAGAGGTCCCAACGTTTTCATTTGCGCCCGACCTTGCAGTAGACCATAACACGAGGGTTATTCTTATATGTTGAATGAATCAAACGATGGAACTGAGGAGAAAATGAGACGATTCTGTAAAGCTGGAGTGCTACATAATATCTGATATTGATGGATTTGGTTCTTCCATCGAACACCATTCTCACGCCACCTTAACGTCTTTTTCCTCTTATAGTGGGACTTTTCGCTTAAGTTGAAGGATGGACCATTCCAATTTCTTACCGTTTTACCTATCGCCGTGCTTGCCAAACCGGTCGGAGTCAGCGTTGGGTAAACCTCAGCTGAGTCATCACTACCAGGAGTTCGAGTTGGAAGGCTCGTCTTAGGTTCCAATCTCCTGAAGAGCGTTGACAGACACCCTGTTCCGCTTAATAGTCTTCACTGAAATTTTTAGTAGTTTGGAATTCATTATTTATGCTCCCAGGTGCATGAGATATCCGAGTCGACAAAGGAAGCTACATGCATGAAACTCAGTGCTGACAAGAGGTGGCAAGCTATTGGCTATGCTGATGGTGTTATCCGATTGTTTGATAGAAAGACAGCTGGTGAGTTGTTGATTATTGGTTCCACAATCTTTTCAGAGTTTCCTCTTTTATTCAGAACAAAGCTGCGTTATATTTTCTGGCCATAAGAAAGCAGTCAACTGCTTAGCATTCAGTGATGACGGTCTTACTTTGGCTTCTGGCGGCAAGGTAATTTGTCGCTCATTTTTATTGACTATAATCGTGCTAGGGCATTACAAGCTTTGAGGGGCGGCGAGGCGAAGTCCCTTTCTTCGCCCTTTATACGAGGTCGAGCGCGCAGTATGGTTGTCTGCGCTCTTTTTGGGGCCTCAAGATCGCAAGGGATCACTCGCGTCGTCGCTCCGCCGTGAGCTCTTCTTCAACTATTGCAGCACGTGCAGAACATGATCTAAAGGCAGTCTTCGAGCTCAACCAGCTCGTAGGCATCCTTCCTTTTTCAAGTAGTCTGGCCCGCAGGTCCAGAGAAGTAGAGTGAGGCCACCAGAGGTCCTTGCTAAGGGTGTTCTTCATGAATTTTTTGCTCTGGCTTAAGTTTTTAACGTTCTTTCTGGGTCTACTGCTTGATTGCTGTGATTGCTGTTTTTTTTTGCTGCATTACAATTTTTCGTCCAGGATTGTGTGGTGATTCTGTGGGATATCGTCTCAGAAAGTGGGCTTTTCCGTCTCAGCGGCCACAAAGGTCCCGTCACACATCTTGCTTTTGCCCGCGACAACCAATTTCTGATCTCATCGTGAGTTTAGCTTTATGTTTTTAATTTTCTAGTCTTCGGAAAATTCGTTTTGATTCTAGATCGAAGGACTGTCTTGTGAAGTTTTGGAGTCTAAAAAGTCAGAGCTGTTTCTATACAATAGTCGACTGTAGCTCTGAGGTTCGGTGTTCCTCTTTCGATATATTGCTCTCTTCTACATGAAATCATTTACACGCCTTCTTAACACAGGTGCATACAACTGCTTCAGGTGTACTCCTTCTGCCTGCTTTGGAGCAACGCTATTATCGTGCTGGCTACAGCTGAGGCTGAGCTCCTTGTTTACGAACTAATTTGGCTGGAGGACGGCAAAATCCCGGCTCAAAGTGAATCAGATGAGCCTGACAAGAAGAAAACATCTGAAGGCAGCAACGCTGGAAACCCACTTGAAGGCATGGCAAACGTGAGATTTTTCATTGAAACTCAAGTTTTTCAGTTCCGCAGTTCAGAAATGGAGCCTTAGAGCGCGTTCAGACCGCCATCGCGCGATCGGATCGCTCGACTAGGATCGCGCTAGTGGGATGGGTGAAATAATTATAATATAGCATTCATTTAGTAAAACAGCTATACTAAAACATGTGATGCGAACAACTCTGAAAAAGACTATTTCAAACAACAGAGAAACTCTTTGGACGACGACTTCAGGCGATATCCTGACACTTCACGAAATGACAAACCTAAAACAAACAACGTCAACATAAACATGAACACGAACAAACATGACCCACCCCCCCCTCCCCCGCTGTGAATTTCACCCATCCCAATAGCGCGATCCATCCGCGATCGCGAAGTCTGAACGCGCTCTTATGGTTACCTATCTTATTCACGCTGGAGTCATTTAAATAAAGTCCTCCTATGGTGCAATCATGCTATTCTTGGTGAACAGCCTTCGCATGCAGTGTTGCATCGCGAATCCCTTCATGAAGTTTGGATGGTGAGAAAAGGAGTGGGTCATTTTTATCGGTGATGACTTTTCGTCGAATTTTCGGGACCAGTTTCACGTACTACCTCTGCTTGACAGCCTAAGCCCGGAGGTGAGAAACTGTGTCGGGGTCGTAACGGCAGGTCGTGAAAGCGGGTTAGATCTTCCTTTTTCAGATCGTACAGTGGGCCCATCAAATCTAACCGCATTTTCCGGTGACGCATATCTGCTTCAAAATTTATGGGTTACCTCTCCCATGGCAATAAAGTGATGAAGTTGAAAAAGTTTGAGGAAACGGTATCCACCTTCTGCTGAAATATGAAAGGTGAAACAATTTCTGAAGATCATGAAGAAGCCCGTGTTCATAGTTATCACTCCGTACTGTTACTGGTGAAGTTGGTTTCGCTTTGTTTGTTGTTTGTTTGTTTGTTTGTTTGTAAGTTTGTCTGTCCGGAAATTCGGTTCGACCTGAAGAACGACTTGGAGAGGTCCAGTCAAGGTGGGGATAGGTAGGGCATGGGACAAGAAATAAAAAGCACACTTGACCTATGGCAAGCCCCGCCCACAGTGGGCGGGGCACTCGCCGAAAGTTTGGGGTTCCGCACAAAAGTGTTCATAATTCGCTTCCGGGGCAGCTGTAATAAAGATGGGAAAAAGGGACTAAGGTTAGTAAGGAGTCGCCAGACTAACTGTGGCAGGTACACCCTAAATGGGCGGGCGTACTCAAGGTGGGCGGTGCTTCTCGCAAAATTCAGTAACCCGGTTCGCGAGAGTGTTTGGAAGTCGCAAAAACTCAGTGTAGAATGTAAATATCTGGCGAATATAGGGCACGCTCAAAGTGTGTTGAGACCCGCCCACAGTGGGCGGAGCTTGCCCTAAATCGCAGGGTATCATTTTAAAAGTTTGTAGCTCGGTTCCAGAACACTCCAGACACCGGAAAAAAGTGGATTAAGGTCAGCAGAGGGTCGCCGGTGAGGATTGTGGGGCAAAAACATTGTGGGCGGAGCCTGCTCCGAGGTGGGCGGAGTCAGACAAAAGATCTGTAAAACGGTTCCCAGAGCACTTCAAAGACCGGAAAGTGAATTTCAGGTCAGCAAGGGTCGCCGATTGAGAAATGTGGGGTAGACATATTGTGGGCGGGGCCAGCCCGAGGTGGGCGGAGCCAGACGAAAATTCTCTAAAACTGTCCCAGAGCACTTCAAAGACCGGAAAAAAAACGTGGATTAAGGTCAGCAGAGGGTCGCCGGTGAGGATTGTGGCAAAAACATCGTGGCGCGAAGCCTGCTCCGAAGGTGGGCGGAGTCAGACGAAGAATCTGTAAAATAGCTCAAGAGTACTTCAGACACCGGAAAAAAGTGGAGTACAGAACAAAAGGCGGATATCAGTTGAGTCTAGAAATATGTGAAAGAAAGAACTTACGCTTGCGTTCGTATTCAGCTTTCAGTCTTTAGCAGCACTTATAGTAAGTGCTGTCTCATATGTTTTCTTAACCTGATAATTCTCTCCTTTACTTTCGATCTCACCATCAGTCATCCTTGACATATTTTCCAAACTAATACTACAATTACTGATTGAAGTTTACATTAGTTCCTCATCTGTGTTTTCAGCGATATGTGCGAGTAAATGTACGAGGGAAATTGCTTCGACAATGTAAAGGACGTGCTCTACAATTGGCAGTTTCGCCTGACGAACGAGTTATCATGTGTTTGGTACGTCTGCTTTTTACCTTAAATCTCAGGCCGAAAAATATCTATGGGCATCACGCGACCAATGGTATTATCTTTTTTTTATCTTTCAACACATTTTCTCACGAAGTGCTGGGCTTAGCAGGTGATTAGTGGGAAAGCAATAGCTAGAAGGCCTGACTTAAACCCTTAACAACTGTCTTGCTTTAAGGGGATCAGTTAGCTGTTATGCTTTGCAATAGAGGTTGTGAAAATGCACACCAAATCTGCTGACTCAGATACCCATAACTCAATGAAAGACTTGCGGCTTTTTCACTTGTATTTGATCAAAAAGAGCTACCTTTATAGCAACTTCCTGTTACAGTAGTTTGGCTTTGCATGGAACTTAAAGGCAGGCGACGCGTTCAAGAGTGGTTATTCGTGCTAAGGCGAAGAAAGGGCGTGGTCCGACAAGTTCTCACTTATTGGTGCCCTCTTTTTCCCATGAATACCACTCTCACCGTTCGAAATGGGGAGCCAGTAGTGGAACAATCATACAAGGGAAATCGTTTAGAGATGAAAGGTTCCGTTTGCCTTGAACTTGTAAGCAGAGTCAGTCGGTTGCGTCCCGACATGGCGAGCGGGCGGGTTTTCCTCACATGCTTGAGGTGCGAAAGAAGTACATCCTGCATGCTGGTGGACAGGACTGCCATGTCCAAAGAAGACGCCTGAACATCAAGTGAATGCGGGGCGTCCCTTTGATTGAGCTAAAGAAGTGGCATGAATCTGAGAGTAACCAACTCCTTCGTTTTATGAACTTTTTTTCTCTTTTCGTTCCTATTATCGTATTGCGATTTCAATATAGTTTTTTTTAAACTCAGTTTCACTCAGGGTTCTGATAAAATTGCGGATGTATACCGCGTTTTCACGGAAGCAGAATCCAACAAACGTCTCGCAAAGAAGATAAAAAGTGCTAGGAAGCGCTTGTCAAAGTGGGTTGAAGTTTCCTGTTTGTTGGACCTTTCACCCTTTTCCAGCAAAGCATAAGAATATAATGTTGTTCGAAGAATACTGCTATTGTTTAAGTGGGTTCTTTATGATATTTCATCTCGCGATAACATAAAGGATGCAGTCAAACGATGCTTCTTCATTAGTGATCTAGCAGATTCTTTGAACAACAAGAAGTCGCTGTTTTTGAAAACTGAAATGAAAGTTGAAGCAACCGCGTTACACATGAAGTGGTGTTACACTTATTTTTTCTGACTAGGGAAGGTCGTCAGGTCGAAGTGGCCATTTGTAAGGAGATGTAGCTCACTAGACGTGGTTTTAGACGCTGATCTCGAATCTGCCTTCGAAAATTTGCAGAACGATTCTCTGAAACGGAATGTGGTGAAGGTTTGTGGAATTAAAAGAAGGAAACAGAGCGAGGGCGCGGTCGCAACGGCCAATTCGCATGAAAATAGCCGGGAAGCATCGCTACCTTCAACGGTGGCATGGTGTAGTGGTAGTGGTCTTGCTTCACGGGTATAGTATGAAGGGTTCCGATTTCTGGAAGGGGAGTTGTTTTGCATTTTGTGGGGATGTCTCTTTTAAAGTTTAGAAATCACTCAAACGCCAAATGGGTGCCATATTCGTGTTCAGGAAGCAAAACTACCTTTGGGGACAGGTTTCTAGCCAGATGTGAGGTTTTGACCTAACTTTGAAAAGTGCGGTAGCAGTTGATCGAATGATGGTCACCAATAGTTCCAGGGCCAGTCTCTTGTCGATTGCTTGTCTTTGGACAGAATTTGCTTTCAGATACCAGGAAAACTGGAGCAGTAATAAAATGAATGCGTAAGAAGAGGGAGACGGGTCCTTCTGTGCGGCAGCGAATGTGATCCTGGCGAGCTGAATGTGGTGTTAACCACAACTGAACTAACCCCAATGGATGCTTCACTTTTCGAAGTCAGTTTGATGTTTTAACCAATGAAAGCACTTGCACGTGTAAATATTTATTACGACGTGCTCGTACCGAACCGTATAACCGACATAAATGCACTAAAAAGTAGGCTTATATACAGGCAAATGTGGGCGGTGCTCAGGTATCGTACCGATGGCGGTACTTAAAATAAGAGTTAAAAGAGCGCACCGCGCCAACGGGAATTTATAGAGTATCTACTCAATGACACACTTACGATACCGCCAGGTCATGCCTGCGGTATGATTTCAAGGGGTGCTTATCTTGGGAGTACCATTGAGTTGGCTAATGTGTTATCATTCACTCTGATAGGCTGACTCTATAATATACTACTTGAAGGGTTGTGAATCCACAACACTGGGGCGGGTGCGAAAATGAAGCGGTAGTATATAATTCGAAAGAATAAATAACATGAAATCATGACGAAGTCAAATGCTGAAATCACAATGTTAACGAGGAGCTAAACATGATCACAGAAAGGACAAATTGTTGTAGTTTCGAAATGTACAGTCACTAGTTAATCATAGAATTGTTCACAAAATGTTGTTCTTCTTTGGCGATTGAACTGGAATGCTGGACGTAGTGGTCGCTCTCTTCGTCCTCTTTTGCCACGTCGACTTCTGTAGTCAGTGGCAGAATCGTTATGGCAGTTACTGCATGAGTGGAATTTTGTAAGCGTTGCGGTGCAACAGATCGTCTTTGGCGGTGCGTTGACGTAAGTCTTGGGAGAGTTACCGGACGTCACTTCAAGGTATTTCCCGGTGGTATTCGTCTGTGTTGCTTGTTTGAGACGTTTCCTCGTCGACGGTCGACGCACTGTTTGAGTGTGTTGAGCTGACGCTTCATATTGATCAGTAAATGTATTCGAGAGTGTTTCCACTTGGAACGAACGTGTAGTGCTTCTTCCAAATCTCTTGGAGGTGGCGGGGCTCTGCAGTGCAATGTAATGAGAGCTGCAAACGATTTCGTTCTTTGCTTTCATTCTTCTGATCGTGCTTGTGCCGGAAATCGTGTACCCGAAGATTGTCGGTGTTAAAATGAGTCCTGATGGGAGTGTCATGTGACTGTCATAGCAGATGACTTGGTGAAGTAGGTCCTGTCCTATTATAAGATGAGGAGTGACCTCAGACGATTTTAGGCTGTGCTGAGCGATGGAGATATTTCTCTTGTTGATGAAGCTCATATCGGAATGGGACAGCTTTGCTGTCCATGTTGGTGAAGTGAGTTTCTTCTTGGAGTGAATCGGTTGTCTCTTCAGTTTCCTGGTACTGTGAAGACTTTTGAGAGTTACTCCAACTTGAGCTTGAAAGTTTCTTTTCTTTGGAGTTTCTCCCTTTCCGATGTAGTGAAAATGGTGGAACAGCTTAGTGTGGGCAGCTGTAGTGATCTGGCAGAATTCCGTTCTATGGAACTCATCTGGGCTCCGCTGAAGTCGAGAAGAATGCTGATTGGCTGATATTCCATTTCAGCTTCATTAAAAATCAACGCTGATGCCGTTTGCAGCACGTGTTGAGTACACTGCGATCGTTGGGAGTCCACTGCGCAGTTTCGAAGAGACGGTGTATGTGCTGTGTGTGCTGGTTGCATTCTGGTCACTTCACGCGTTGAGTCGGGGCTCCGACGTCGTGGCTGTCTAAAGCAATTGTTTTTTGGATGCGAAGTAACCTGTTAGTTGAGTTCACTGGTGGCTTGGAGTTCAATGGTGGCTTCTTCGTCCACTTTTGGCAAACGGCTTGAAAATCGTAATCTCGCTTCTTGATGAGGTCACAGGAGCGATGAGTGGTGGATCGCTCGTTGCAATTTCGAAGCACTGTCCGCAATGCGGTTCATGACCTCGATCGCGTGATTTTGTCAAATGCATTTCCAGGCATAACCTTTTGGCGTTTTGCGTTCCTAAGTTCGACGCGCCGCCGGTGTAATGAACCTGGCGCATTGTTGTGGCGAGTGCATTTCTCCGCATAAGCATGGATTCCTTGTTCGATGAGTAGGAATATTGGCCTGGCTTGAAGCCTTACGCTGTGGTGCTCTAGCGTTTATGCTGTTGTGCATGTGGTTGCACACAAACAGAGTCCTTGTAAGCTCAGTAGTTTCCTGGAGCGTTATAATCTCATCGACGGCTTCAATAATGTCGTTCACTTCGAATCCTGCACCAGCTTCGTTTTCCTTCTTTATGACTTGGCTGCAGATGCTTTCGGTGAATTTGGAGAGGATGAGGCGTCTCCATACTCGGTCTGCATTCATTGGAACTCCAGCTTGTTCCAGGTGTACGATGCGAGACGATATGGCACTGAGCGTATTGCGGCAACTTGTCGAGCTTCCTTGAGCCCTAGGTAGGTGCTCGATCTCGTTGATCAAGATGTCCGCTATACTAGACGATCTGTCGTA